CGACACGCGACGCGGTTCTTGAGCGACGCCTATTGTAAAGGCCTGGCGCGCGGACAGGTCGAATGTTGCAACCTCAGAGCTAACCACAGAGACGGCCAAATCGTGGCTGCAGAGCGGGTGTCCACAGCTGCTTTTGTAAGCTTCCCGGGTAAAGCGTCCGTATGTGGCTTTGCTTGAAGCCTTGCCAGCGAGACCCCGAGCGGCAAACCCCGGCCAGGAAGTATGTCGCCGCCAAGCCAGCGCCTGGGACCGGAGCGCAGCATTGGCGAGAGAACGTGACAGCAGAAGCATACGGGCACCGGCCACTGCAATCGGAATGCTGGTGGTTGTCGCCTTACGAGTTTACTCTGCGCTAGGATATTCTTCCGACGCGCGTGCCGTATAGCCGACAAGAATTTGAAAGTGGCTCCGCAGCGTCCTGGGACGTGCGCCAACGCGGCTCCAGCTTCCTCGAAAAAGGGCTTCCAAGCGGCGGCCGCAGCATGCCCCGTAAAACAAGCAGAAGCGGACTTCCACGCTTTCGGAACCGAGAAAACAAGCAAGCGTTCTCTCGCCTCCCACGGGTCTTCTGGCTGGTAGGTTGCTCACGGAACCGAACAAAAAGAACCAGCAGGAGCGGACCCCAGCTTCCTCCTAAAGAGCTCCCAAGATATTTTATCTTTCGCGCTCCCCCTGCCGGCGGCGGGGTCGGCGGATATAGTATAGCTAGTTAACTACAATGATATACTAGGGCCATCTAGGGCCACTGGGTGCGTGTTGTTAGACTTGACTTGACTTGAAGATGGATCTATTCGTGCCACCAGAGAGCGGTTTGTGACTTACCCTTTGCTAGAATTAGACACAAGACTCCCTACTGTAACAAAGCACTCACTGTAAACTCATTTTCTTATTTCTATTTTTCTTCTTCAACCTCATTGTCTTCAGACTATTGAGATGGAAAAGGGAGTGGGATTGGATGGGGAGCCAGGTAGGGAGCATGGGAGAGTGGGCAGCGGGAGGGACTGGTGTCTGGTGAGTTGCTAATGCATTGGCTTCCAAGCATGGGTGTAGTTGGAATGACTTGTGCCTAAAGTCTTCACGTCTGCAAGGTTCCACATACCACATGCATGCAGTGCGCGCGCACACATGTATACTGTATGGTACATGATACAATTGTTGCAGTTAGTCAAAATGCTGTAAAACGATAAGAATAAAACACAACGATAACGTCAACAGTGGCATAGGATCAAGGGCATCGCTACTAGGAGCAAGAAACTACTAGTAGTTCCTGGCATTACTACTAGGAGCGTAACAAAGGGCATCGCTACTAGTAACAAGAAACTACTAGGGGCTCCTGGCCTTACTACTAAGAGCAAGGACGCTACTAGGGGCTCTTGGCATCGCTACTAGTAACAAAGGGCTATTCGTTTTCTTTTACCCGACGTCCCGTGGCCCGAGGTGTGGAGCCTGTGCTGGCCACGGGGACAGCATCCCAGGATGCGACCTGGCGAGTCGAACTCGAATGTTCGACGGATGTTCGGGTCACACAGGAGGAAGGAAGATGAATTAGCTCATCGTTGGTCCTTCAGAGGGCCCCCAAAGCAGAATGGTTTATGCAACGCTATGATTATCAACTTCCCAGAGTTCATGAATGTAAGACCCTGGTTTCTATGATGACTAGAGGGCTGATGTTAGATATTCATGATCAGTTTTTCTCGTCCACCTTTTGTCGGAGAAACCGAGCGATCCGCTATGTTTGCAAGGTTTCCTTTCGGTAACCCTCATCCGAGTTTCAAGAACATGTTTGCACCAAGTTTGCTGGACTGGCCTTGACTGGCCTTGGTTTGGTTTGGACATGGCCTGCATTGCCTTTCGAGTGTCACCCGTGTTGAAAGTGTTTCTTAGTGTTACTGGTCTTGAGGCATGTGTCGAAAGATGCGTCAAATTTGCCTGACCAGTTGACACGCCGAACGTTCGGCGTGTCTTTTGCCGCCATCAAGTTTAGTTTGAGGCGTGGAAGCTCGTGGGCGAATGCTATTTGCAGATGCAGGACTTCGACAAAGCCCTGCAGGCAGAGCAGACCGAAGTAGGAATGCAGGAATTGGTTGAAGGGCTACGGCATTGCTTCAATGAGGACTGATGCAGTGAATCTTTGCATATATAATTTGCCGTTGCCTTTGCATTGTTCACAAGTTGGCAAGACTTGTCTCAGACCTTCAACCCTGTGAAATGCCATCGCTAGTTGAATCGTTTGAATCATTGGGCAGTGCGGAGCATTGGTCAACGACTTGATGGGTAATGAGTGCTGTGTCGGTGGAAACGGAATGAGACTGTGTTCTGTGTTTCAAAAGAGGCTGTTCGGGCAAGTCTGGTATAGTTAGCGGCTGTCAGGTGAGTCAGGCGTCAGGGCAAGCCGCAAAAGGGGGGTTAGACACAGACAAGAAGTGCAATTGTTGCAAATCTCTATGACCCAAGCCACTTGGTCAGGCAGGAGTATGTGGCTTGTAACCTGACGCCTATTTTGAAGGTATAGAACCAGAGGCCAGTTTTGGAGAAGCCCTACGCAAATCCCCTTTGTTCACGTACTTGTACCCAAGATGGTTCAAGTGAAGAACTAAGCTTTCCTAAAGATCTAGGAACCGAATGAATAGCTTTAAGGAAGCTCACCCCTCAGGCGGGGGGAGCAGAAGCGTCCTGAGTCGTAGCTAGCTAGTAAGCGATCACTAGTTAAGTAAGAGCGGACCAAGAAAGATAACGAACAACAAAAAGGATCCTGCTTCAAACAAAGCACTGAGCTGATCATATCAGCTGCCAGGCACTACAGGCAGCCTCTGACAAGTCGGAAGATCCAGCTCTCCACATCCGACTAGGTGCTTTTTTGGACCCGGACATAGTGAAGAACAATTTAATACTGTATGCATATATACATACACACATGCTGTGTATATATATATACACATAAAAGAACGATGAATGAGTACATACCAAAATATTATGATATCATGATACAGAATGGAGTTGCAACTTGTCCTTTATCTTGGGCTTGTCGTTGGGGGGAGGAAGGCCTGTTATATATGCTGGCTCGCAGGCTCCGTGCTGCTGGTCAAGAAGCGCTGGAAACAGGTATGCCGACTAGCCGCTAGCCTTCGGGGGTGGGTACTATTGAATATTGAGTTTGAAGGGGCAAATCCACAACTGGGTTAAGACAGGGGTGGATTTGTGACTTCCTGACCCACAAAATTCGTGCAAACTGCAAAGCCAGATGTGTGAGCGACTGCTCAGCAAGAAGACCACAGGCCACACCTCAGAGTCCAGTTGAGAAAAACAGGACCAGTCCCATTGGTTTTGGGGATCCTTTTCTGTGGTGTTGACCATGTGTATATTCAACTCGCGCTTTGCCAAACTCGCTTGCTGACAGGCGCGCGATACGTTCTTGCGCTCCATCCAGTTCAAGCCCACTGCGGAGGTACCTCGGGCACAGGTTCTTCGGACCACCCAGATGTTCGTTCTGACGGTTTTTTTTTTGAGCCACAGACAAGACAAGCTTGAACAAGCCGAGGAGGTCTAAAGATACCCCCAAGGAACATGCAAACAAATTGCCTCACACATCCAGAGATTGGGAAGCTGCTTTTTGCACCGAGTTGTTGCGGTTTGGACTCATTGGATGATTAATGGGTATCACTTGCTTCATTGACTTCTATCGGTTGGTACCATGAAGCAGCAAGGCCAGCGCTGCGACCGTGGGAACATCGCTGCATGTCAACAAATGAAACTCGCAGAGCTGATTCTCTTGTTCGATCTCATGGATTTTGTGGCATGAACTCACATCGCTATTAGGGTGGAGGCCATCGCGATTCTGTTTGGCTATTCCATGCTATTCTTTTGTCCCAAAACACTCCCGTTGAAGAGCTGAGGCCTGGAGCGGTGTGGCCTATGCGGAGCTGAGGTCTGACGATTTGAGACCCTCCTATGAGGCGAGTAATGGAGAGATAGCAACCACCGGGTCATGTCGCCAAGAATACATGTACTGTATGGCCTTGTAAAGCCAGGGTATATGGGCACAAACCTTGTTCTGGTCAATGTTTGCAGATTGGCTGGCTTACTGTACTCTTATGTTTACACCTTGAATTGTTTCACAGCCTTGTCTTGGCGAGTTGTTCTACCACATGAACGTCGTTTGAAACCATGAACCTGGAGCAACATTCCCTTTGTGAGGAAGCTGGGGCAGCACAACATTGTGAGATTTGGAATGCCTGATATTCAGAGTGACCATTCGACCATGTGGCTATGTGCAGCTAGTGCCAGACTGGCAAGAAAGCACTACACTCCATACCTCGATTCAGATAGGAAGATTCTATTACTATGTTTATGATAGTGTTTATGCTATATATACTGTATATATATACACATCATGTCAAAGTTGCTTGTGCAGCTTTCTTTTCGAAAGGCCCACACAGGGCCCGCAAGAGACCCGCACCTTCCACATAAGCAGTATCAACCCCTTCGGCCTCGCCAGGCCTTATGTGAAGCTAACTTGTTGGACAATGAGCGCTGCGATGTTTGGGCACTACTTTGCTTGGTGCGACCACCAAACCTGCTCAGGTGCCACTGTATCTATGCACTAGCAGCGGCCTCTCTTGTTCAACTTCTATTCTTCTATTCTTTCTTTGTAGGTTGAAGGAATCGCTCTAGGTTGGAGGCCATGACACCATGGCAGCTGATGCTTTTGGGAACTATTTGCATCTATTTGCCAATAAGAGCATCATTCGTGACTTGCGCGGTGGTTTGAGTGGTGCCGCATCTCATGAGTTCAGAGGGCCCTCATTGCTTTGTGGGGAGACTAATGCCCCAGCTGCTGGCCATCTCTACGCTCAGCATGACCAAACCACAGCACACGCTCACACACACAGCAAAACATGATGTTGCATCCAATTTTGCAAGAAGCTCAGCCTCTAAAACTAGTGTCAGCTACTGAACAAAAGAGAAGGAATATTTTGGGAACCATTGCAACTGATGTTCATGTTCTCAATCTGCCCTTGGCAGCGTATGCCTACAGTGCTGCCATGGGATGTTGTGGCTCCGTCGACAAAGACACCACTGAAAGGTCAGGGCCCAAGTCTGGGCTGGACTTCCAGTTGACCCTACTTGCGAAGATCGGGTCAAATGGTCGACATTTCGTTTGAGAATACCTTAAGATGCTGCATCTTAGTGTGCATCCCCACTAATCACTGATTGTTCTATATTGTATTATATATACTGTAATATAGATTCGGAAGCCCTTCAAACCTGACTATGCCGAACAAACGATTTTGGGGCCTTGGTATGCCTGTGATGCCTGGGTGAAGCGTTTGTGCCACTGAGGTTGGAGAACGTGAGCAAGGAGATCAAAACTATTGGTTTGAGTGCCGATAGCGATTCATTGAAGGAGTTGGCAAGACATGCCAAGGAGAGGGGAGCAGCTGAAAAATAGCATAGCTTGCATGTTGCTGTTGCTGTCATTTGGATCTGTCCAGCTACTGTGAGGAACTTCAAGAGATCTTTGAAGTCTTCGCCAATGCTGGTGACATGAGGATGATCGAACGTGTCCAAGACCTGAGTGATGCCATCGTGCGGAACCTCATTGGGCGGATCGACCTGGAGCTGTTAAAGAAAGGGGCAGCAGAGAAGCTCAGACAAAATTGATGACACTGACATCGCTGGACATTGCTAGTATGCATATGCTAGAGCTTGGCAATTAGAGTGAGCGAGAGAGAAGGAGTGAGGTGTTTGAGACGTGTAGAACAGATCTACGGTAAAGAAATGTTGGGATTCCAGATGTCTTGCTGCACCACTGACTCAGCGACTTTGGACCACTGCTGACTTTGATATTTCCAAATATTTTCCACGCCCCTCAGGGGCTCCGAGATTTCTTAGAGGCAGAGGGCCTCACGCGCTACGCGTGCTCGTGTCTACGACTGTGTGAAAGATGTATATAGATGATCCAAAGTTGCGGCGCCTCCAGCCTCCTGCAACTAGTTTGCGGTTTACAGTTGTGGCAGCTTTTGGCCGCTTTGGGCGTGCACAGCTGGCGGCGCTCAAAACGCCGCCAGTATGCAGTTGACGTGACAGACCTTTTTCACACAAAGGTTTTTCGGACACATTTGCGCGGCTGGGCTCCTTGCCCCCCGCGACGTGCCACGCGTGCTCAGTTCCTTGCGGCGTACTCTGACGGTGAAGGCTCTGGTCAAGTGGCGGTGCGCTCCACATTTCTTGACCGTGCCAGCCACCGATTTTTGCTGTGCGACCGTGCCTGCCGCCAAAACATCCACCGCATTGAAGCGGTTAGCGCTTCCATTTGTTTGTTGACTTAGCCCCACACCCTGTGGGGCCAGCCGCTCTTGTTTTTCATAGACAACAGTCTGCAATGGGCAGCATGCACAGCCTTTACGTGGGCGCTCGCGGCCGACTGGCAGTGCCTTGTCCAATTCGAAAATGTCCTATCGGCCTCCAACATCATTGACAAGGCCGGTCGAGCACTCTCCCCTGACGATTTGCTGCCATACCGTGCCAGAGGTTGGTCAATGCGACCCCCTGTCCTACCTTGGCACATGCTCACATTGTCTCAGGTGCGAGTTTTGCCGGCGCTCAGGATTTGTAAAGGCTCCCTCTAACACCTTGCTTCGACTCTGCAAGGAAACAAAAATAGGCAAGCGCTGCAAACCTAATCCAAGAACATTCAAGAGTTAACACCTGAGCAGTGGTTGAAGTGCACATTAGTCCTCAAAGATTTACAATTGAGCCCGGCTCAATGCTGACCTACTTGTCATCTCAGGTATCAGCCCACGCTCGATGCAATCATGGCGGTAGCGACAGATCTCGACACAGTCCGTGCCACCAAAGCGACCAAGCTGGTTGAAAGCCACTTGAGCCGACACCTCGAGCAGGTGCAGGCAGCTCAGGAGCTTTGCATTAAAGTGACCACATAGTAATCATCAGGCTCCAAGGTCTTTGTCGACAAACAACAAACGTATGAATTTGTAGAAAACAACATCAAAGCTTATATCTTGTTCAGATTTTTCCCACCGTCCTTTCCTCGAGACCCAGCTACAGGAACCAAGCATCTTTAACCTGAGACTCTCCGTATGTTTCCATTTCATTTGGTGGCTCCATCACATGCCTTTTGATGCCCGTGCTTTGTAACTTGCTTGGGGTATGAGGAGAAACAAGTGGATCCCATCATCAAGAAGATCCAAGCGCTCCGGGCGAAGCTCCAAGAGCCAGGGCAAGCAAAGAACTTAGTCCCTGGCACTAAGGACCTGGATGCGAGTCGGAAGGCTTTGGCTGAGTTAAACATAAAATGAACCATGCTAGTGCCGTTATAGCAAGAGTGTTTAGAGTTTAGAAGCTCGACTCATTCAACTTTTTGGGGTGCTGTGCAGGTTTGTACTAAAGGAGGCAGAAGCCGAGCGAAAACCCCTTGCATCGTGTTGTGGCGACAAAACCATAAGCAACCCGACCCTGGAGGACATTGTTGACTCGGCAGAGCAAACCTTCAAAGCGGCTCCAGAGGCAAAACAGGCCAGTGCAGTTTTTGCGGCGGCACTCTTCTTGATTTTCTTGTATCATCCGAAAGTATCTCAGGTTCTGAACTTTTTGTTTATATAGTTAATGGAACAGTTGCGCAACCCAGGTGGCCAAAGCGCTTCTTGAAGAGTGTCTCGGAGTGAGAGTTGGCTCTATGGGTCTGCTGCGTGGGCGGCGATGATCCCTGAGTTCCTGTCGGGTACGGGCAGATCGAGAGATTCCCTTTTGAACGTTGATGGATCTTTGAATCATTGAGTGCGCGTTGGAGATAGCTTCAACAAAGTCCCTTCATACTGCACACCCCAAGAAGCTGGGTGAAGCTAGGAGAGTCTAGGAAAGCTGTTCGAAACACATCATGGTTTAAAGACGACCTGGCTCCTTTGTCTACTGAGTTTGGTCAGGTTTCTCTCAAAGGGGCTTGTTATTGCATGTCATAACCAACACCTGCTGCTGCTTCCCTTTTAAATCAATGAATGAATAAACAACTAAATACCAGAACATATCAGAATCTTCCTCACTCTGGGCACACGCCCCTGTCGTTAGCCAAGATCCACCTGGGCCGAGCCGAGGCTGGTGCCGCACTCGGTGTGGATCCTCGAATCGGAGGCCTTCTGGTCCAATGCCCAGGCCTCCGACCAAGTCGTGGAGCTCCAAGACAGCAAGTGAGGGACGGTGCGAAGAGTCTGTTGGAGTTCTTTCATGTTATTCGGTTGGCCAACATAGTTCCAACTTAATCCCCAATACCCGGATTGCGGATTACGGATTTACGGACTAATGTTTGTGGATGCTTGTGGAATATAAGGATTTGAAGTCCTTTGGAGGCTTTCCAGAGGTTTCCGCTCAGCTGTGTACTCAAGGAATTATATACTGTAGACTCAAGGAAGCTTCACAGTTCACACCATGCTTCGGGTAAGCCAATCCAGTCCCGAAGATGGGCTCAATCCTGGAGCCAAGCCCCGATTGGGATGGCCAGATCCAAGCCCCTGAGAAGAGGTCTTTTACCCTTCCTGTGTGTGGGGCTTGCTGCGGTGCCCGATCCACCCCAAAGTAGAGGTCTTGGGCCTCAACCCTTCCTGTTTGGGGTTTGCTGGGTACCAGATCCAATCCCGGCCCGAAGAAGAGGTCTTGGACCTCAACCTTTCCTGTTCGGGGGTACCCTGAAGAAGAGGTCTTGCACCTCAACCCTTCGTCTGTTCGGGGTTTGCTGGGTCTGGGCCTCAACCCTTCCGTTTGGGGCTTAAAAGGACTAACCGTGGTTCACTGATTATCGGTTAGGCTTCGGATTGCACATTGGAACGGATTGAGCAAACAATTTTATTGCTGTGATTAGGGTGTGGCAGGTTTGGAACAGTGTGGAAGGTAGTGCTAGCTGGAACATGCTTGGCCCAGGACCTTTGAGGTGATCGTTTCACACGATATTGTATATATATACACGTACATATATATATATATGTACATATATATGTATATATATATGTATATGTATATGTATATATGTATATATGTATATATGTATATGTGTATATGTATATATATATGTATATGTATATGTATATGTGTATGTGTATATGTATATGTATATGTATATGTATATGTATATGTATATGTATCATCATCCACAAATCGGTGGCGCCTTTGGCAAGTCCAAGTCAATATGGTGTCACGGGTGATGGGATCAATATCGAGCAACCCACACGTCCTAGGCTTTCGAAGCGCGTGGATGCCTTGGCCCAAGACCTGGTGGCTTTGTTGGGTGCCACATGGGATCCACCTATCACTCCCCAAGCTGAAGCTTGGCTCAAGAAACAGTGCAATTTGCGAGTGATGACATGTAGTACTTGTACTGGTAGCTCCTTCTTGACATCTAGCAAGATTTCTTTCAATAGGAAAGCGGGCTTTAGCGTTGTTTTTTTCCGGATTTCGGCCAAGCAGCAAAGACATGAGTTCCAAAGTCGATGTGCGCGTCACCCCACGCATCCTGTGATTTGACCAAATCCTGCACAGCTGCAAATCGGTGTCAGGAGCGAGTGCGCCTACGGAAAGCCACTGAAGCTTGTGGCCAGTTGGTTTCGAAGGCACAGAAGCACTTGGAAGCAGATGAAGGCGCTATCATTCTTGTATATTCTTGCTATTCGTTGGGGCGGGTTTGGCTTCAAACTGTTTTTTTGCATTTAGGTGAAATGGAGTCGGAACAACATTTTTTCCAAGGATTCTGCGTGCGCATTCATTCGGCTAGCATCAGGTGGAGAAGCTTACAATTGTTTGCAAGAGCTCTTGCCTTGGTGGCCCCATCTCAAGAGCAACTTGTCCGATGCATTGGAGGATCCTCGCTAGACCGCAATCGGTTACAACCTCGGTCCAGGTCAAGACGTGTTGGCATGATCCTGCAAACTGTATACTTTTAAAGAAAAGGGCCCAGCGCCTGGATTCCCCCGTCAGCACTGGGAATTTGCTGGAAGCCACAGGCAGCCATTCTCTTGAGATTGTCGGGTTGTTCAGCAAGATGCAGAGTTACGCGCAAGAGGTGGGCAGAGAAAACCAGAGGAGACACAGTTCAAAAGGAAAGGAAGAACAGTGGCCCTAGTAACGTGCCCTTATCTTCCTTTTGTTTATCTCTTCTTTTCTATTTTTGAGATGCTCCAGAGGTCAGGTGTGAGAGTCAGAAAGAGACAGGGTGGGAGGTGTGAATAGGCAGCTTTTCTTAGCACTGAGCCAACGAATCAGCAAATTGGACAGGACTTCGAAAAGTAGCAAGTATGCGGATTCGATTCCAAGCCCATTATATTACTTCCTACTAGGACAAGAATGTGACAAAAGTTGTGACAATGTATTGTATTCACTTGTATTCAAATTCTGCTTTCGATATGGTTGGTATGATCGTGCATGAGTTGCTGAAAGCATCTTGATAGATGCATGGATGCATAAACTTAAGTTTCCCTAAAGATGTAGAAACCAAATCATTAGTGCGCGAGCTATCCTGCGTCCTGTTCCTAGTAGCTTTAGTAAACTACTAGCTACTCCCTCGCTGCCTAGCGACCTCCGCGGCCAACCATCTAGGAGCAAGGACGCTACTAGGGGCTCCTGGCCTTACTACTAGGAGCAAAGAAGCTACTAGGGGCTCCTGGCATCGCTACTAAGATCCTCGTTTTCAACGCCTTGCAGGCCTTCCTGGCGGCCGCAAAGGCCGGACACAGCGAGAGCGCCGAGGAGATCCGTGGCTTCGCAGTACAGTTCGACGAGCTCCGGGCGAAGTTCGAGGGGTCACATGGCGTCGATCAGTATGGGTGAAGGAGCTGAGCTTGGGAAAAAGGCTCAGAGTGCAATGAGTGAAGGTCAGCAGATGCCTCGAAAAACATTGAAACATAGGAAACGAATGTGAACGTGTATATACATATAACATTATAGTATTATATGATGCATTATTATAACACTGTATAGAAGATGATCGAGTCTTGTCCCAATTGCTTTACTGTAGGTGTATCATGCGGAATTTGCATTTTCAGCTGTGCTGAAGCGCTGTCAATCTTCAGGTTGCCAGCTGCCTCAGGGCGTCCCTTGGGAGAGGCTTTGGAGTCTGGAGAGGCAAAAATCCAGGTGGCCAAAGCACTGGACGTGGTGGATGCGGAGGTGGCCAAGAGCGCGGTGCCTTGGCATGTCTCGGCCAAGAGATGTGTGGCTACTAGTGGCTACCACCATACATGTTTTTGGTGAGGACAGTCTCTCGCACGTAACGGATAGATGGTGCCCGGTAATGCCTGGTAGGTTGAGTGGCTCAGAGGCTGTCACAAGATACATAATTAGGAACTACCTTTGGAGTCAACTTGCAACCTGCTTCAGAAGGAAACGGAAAGTGATGAAACATCAATTGCCAGCCAGCCGTCGGCGCCTGCCCAACAGAATGAGCGCTCAGGTTATAGCACACAAATATGTGCGTAATTGAATGGATGACTATGCAAGCAGATGAGCAAGAAAGCTCTCCTAATTTCTCAGCATTTCGCAAAGGCTTTTGAAGCACTCAAGTCTTAAGATTCTCAAATGGCTAATTTCATGGTGTCATTGCATCCGAATTCCATCAGCCGATGATCAGCAACCCTCCGCACATTGGCCAAGAGGCCAAGAGGGTTTGTTTTGTGTTTCTTACCTCATGTTGCAAGGCCTCAGAAGCCTGTTTGTGGGATGCTCAATGATTTCGGTCAGATTCACAGTTGATCCGAGCTGTTTTGGTTGCAAATTCTACTGTACCCAGGATGACGATGAGTCCACGAATTTGAGCCTGCCGGCAATGAGAAATTGATGCATGGGGCCGGGTGTGTCCACCAAATGCGATGTTCTGGTGTCGGAGATTCTGAGATCCTAGTGTGTTGGCTTGTATGACCGGCCTATTTTTCCAGTGTAGGATGAATAACATAGCATTCCTGCAAGTAAGCAATGACTAAATCGCTTAAGGGACTAACATGTCCTGTTTGCAAGTTACAACCCATTACTGAACATGACTGAACTCTATTTCATTATGATACGAATATGTTTGGTCGATTCCATGTTGTTGCATAGTCTTGAAGACACGCGCATTCGAAACAGTGAATGTAGTCCAGGCCACGAACAACCACGGTTGGACGTTTCCTATATACATTCTACAGGTTGGAGTCTGGAGCACCAAGACATGGTGACGTAGTATGATAGTATGACCTACTGTAGTCCATTGCGTACGTGGCAGCAAAACCGTGCAGCTGCGCAGCCTTCAGAATCTTTTGTTTCTTGGGATGGAAGCTGTGCGTTTGGTGCACAGAACGCACAATCAGGATAACATCGCCAGAACGTCAGGATAAAATCCCAATAAAGTGTGAGAAAGTATTGAATATATACATAATCTGAATCACTTACATTTTGACATCCCGTTCTCGGCACCTTGCTTCTGCTTCTGGAGCATTCCGGAGCCCTTTTTTCCAACTGCCCGACATATGTCTAAATAGTCATCCAAACCCCTTTGAATGACGCAAGTGATTCCGAAACTATCTCTGGCATCACTTACACCCCACGTTGAGAATCAAAAAATTGTAGGCAAAAAGCGCTAGCTCAAGCTCTGTAGCAGCAGGATCATGCCCTTCAGGCTGATCAGGTACCACATAGGTCGGGGATCTCGTGGCCCCGCAAGAACACTGGTGATCTCGCGGCCCCGCAAGTCCAGCTTCGAGGTTTGGCAACGACCATTCAGGCCTTGGAATCATTGAAGATGGCGTGGCCTGTGGCCAGCAAATCAGACTCTGAGGAGAGCCGAGTCTTTACGTTGAAACACTCACCGGGTCCAATTTGCATTGCAAATCATTGAATCCAGAACCAGCGGGTAAACCCTGTCATGAATGGAATTACTTACCCGCTGGTCCTGAAGATGTCCAACTTTGGGAGGGGCGTTTGCCTCCAAACCGCTCGAAACAGGATTGTACCATCTATTTCTATGCAAAATATGGCACAGGAAAGCACACCACAGGAACATTTGGACGAGCTGGGTGGAGGTGGTTGTGGCAACAGTTCGCGAGGCTCTCTCCAATCTCTCCTCTCAAACTGTTTGTATCAAAAAGCTGCATTTGTATAAGCAGCTGTTCAGTTCTGAGCGGTTTGACGTGTTTCATTTGCGGGTCGTGACCAACCAATTTCTTGAACTTGCACTAGCTTTGCCAGGCATGGTTGCATTTGATGCAAGCATTTCTTGGCCGGACTACCTTTGTGTACATTAAAGAGTATTTTTTCGGATATATAGGGGCTTTATTAACTAGACCGTCTAGACTCATGAATTGCAACTGGATGTGCAGTGGTCAGCGTGCAGGTAAAACAACTCCTGACACGATTGGGTTTGAAGTAGACTATGGACGGACATTTGCAGAGATTCCTGGTTTTTGGCTTTCCGCTGTTTGCCGGCCACTGCACTGGCCAATGTCCAAGCGAGCAGGAGTTGTACGAACGGCTGAAGAACAGCTGCTCTGGCCTCGAGAAGTTCATCATTGACCCTTGGTGTCCTCTTTGTGTCTCCACACAGGAAAAAGTTGAAAGATGTTGAAACCAATTGAGACAAATTTAGCACAACCTCACAGTTGAAATTCGTTGTCTACTTTTGATTAATCGATCTATTCCCATCCTCCAATTCTCTGAGTCACGACCAGCAAAAGTCGTAAGGACACCATCTCGAGCTGTCCAGTGGAGCAGATCACCAGCTTCCTGCAGTTTGCGCAGGACCAGTTGGGGAACCGGAACGCTAGAGAAGTTCCTGCCTTGCAGTTGCATGGGAATGGAGCCCTTGTATTGGGGCACATCAGAGGCGGAGCCGGAGGCAGCTGAGGCAGCTGGCCGAGATGTCCGATACCCCAAACCATCTAAAACCAACAGTTTCACTAGACTAGACCATATAACTTGGGATGCCTTTGCGCAAGGTGCGTCCACATCGGCCCTTAGGAGTACGACTCACGGCGAAGCACCATTGATGGATCGGAGCCCCTCCGGCCACGCCTAACCTCAGACGCGTCGGTGCGCTATTTGAGCCAAGCCGAAGGCAGGGAGGACGATGGAAGCATTCACAAAGACCGTGACTGAACTGGTTGGGAAAGTGTCAGTGTTGGGACTATCTGTAGGGAGGCTATGAGAGGCAATTGGTCTGAAACCCAAGGCAACATAGTTCTTCTTCTAGATGAAGAGGAAGATGATGATTCTGATGATGTCGCATTCTTACTATTAGTCTCCTGCTGTTGCTTGTCTCAGCCAACAGGTGAGCTCGGAAAGACGGAAGGCATGAAGCCTCACATTCTCCTAGACAGCTTGAAGGCATCGGTTTGGTGGGGAGTGTGATGTACAGTGAATGGACAGATGCGGCAGATAACAAGATAGGACAGCGATGTAGTATATAGATGGTCCAGAGGTTGGTCACCTTGCCACCTCACCTTCCTCCATGTTCATGATCTTCATTTGATTTTCTTGCATTGGGTCTCCCACGATCGACAATCACTGATGAGTCTGAGCACTGGTCACCCAAATATATCCCATATGAGGCCGTGGTGGCCATCTCGGACGGCAGTGACAGCAAGGTGGGTTACATGGGATGATTTATATAATACATATGGATTTTTGGTCATCTCTTGCTGTGGAGCTGATACCAGTGTGCCCCGACATACTTGCAGTGTGGCGCACACTTCGTGCAATAAAGCAATGTATATAAAATGTTGCGAAGCGATGTGTACATACTACAGCAATACTGCAGACAGCCATACATAACCAAACATAGCATTGATTAGAATTCCGTGTGAAGCAACCACAAGCAAACTGCCCCGATCAGCAGCCACCCTGACCACAAATTAGAAAGACTCAGGTGCGCACCCAGCTGTTGCGAGTCATGTCTGCTACGGACGAGCGCTTGCTGAAATCCTTTGTAGAGACCATCTCAGCAGAGGCAAGTGCAGGAGAAGCCAGGGTGGGACCTCATCTCTTCTATTTTTTTTGGTCCAAGTACTTGGATATCCGTAGGCGCACTTGGGCAGGCGATCTAAGGCACGAAATCAGCATGGGTGAACTCTATGTCAAGGAAGATTTTCCTGTCGTCCTCTCGCTGCGGGCTGATGTGGCTTGAAAAAAATGACCTTGCAGCCTCAGGTGGAGAATGAAAAGAAGGAGCTCTTACTGCAGAAGTTTGCCGAATCTGCGGATGAGGTTCGCGTGGCGTGTTCGATCCCAGGAAGGCCCTTGGTGGAGGCTATGCGGGAAAAGAGGACCGAGACAGCCACTTGGATGAGATCAAAGAAGATGCACAGGCTTAAGCCGTTCGCATCATTCGTGCGCATTGCTAAGCATTTTGTGAACCTGCGGCGTTTGGTTCCATCCAGTATTAGGTAAGTGTCTCCAACTTTGTAGCAGCCTTTAATAGCGGACGGGGTCATGTGACTTGACCAGTTCGATCATATCCAGAAAACGGTATATTTTGAGCAATTTGCTACCAAAATGAGCGCAATGTTTCGGTTCCTGTCAAGTCCTACACTGTGCTTTGGAGGGCCCTAGTTCTCGTCGCCCCGGCTCCCAAGGCAAGCGAGTTGATCAGCACTATCCGGGACGAAATTTCTGCCGGACAAGTGGGCTCGCTGGCCAAAGAGCTTGGTGCTTTATCGCGGATTTGCAAGAGGCTCCTAGGAATGAACTCGATTGCTTCGCTGCACCATTTTGAAGCAAACACAAACGGATCCATACATATCATTGTGTAGAATCACTCATGACTCATGACTCATCATTTTATGCACATCCCACATTGTGCATTACTCATCATTACACCTTTGCCTCATCATCCAGAGCAGCGCAGTCCAAAGATCGCCATCTACCCATTTTCGAGAAGGATGCTATGATGGCAAGCAGCATAATCAGCATGTGTGGGGGAACTACCATTGGGTACCCACAACCCGTTTCTCTGCACAGCAAACGTTCAAGGGGCCCAAATCCACCTTGATTATTTTATTCCTTTGTTTTTTCCTCATGTTTTGATTGTCTCTTCAATACTTTAACAGTTGTTTCTCTCGAAAGACCTCCTTTCCGACTGAAGTCACTTCATCACTTCGTGAGGCTCCCGCCAGAGTCCTCGATACCCAAAGAGGCAGCCGCCGTGGGGTCAAGGTTCCTCGAGAGCCTTGCGACTGCTCCGCTTGCAGAGGTGGAGATGCTCATGCCGCTCGATGCGTTGAAGATACCAGTAGTAGGGTCCTTGTTACTAGTAAGGCCAGGAGCCCCAAGTAGCGTCCTTGCTCCTAGTAGCGATGTCCTTTGTTACTAGTACTAGTAGCTTCTTGCTCCTAGTACTCATGCGTCTGTGTTTTCGTCGTCATTTTTATCGTTGTGATGGTGTGTTTGCAGTTTCTTTGTTGTCATGTGCGTTGGTTTTGGTGTGTTTTGTGGTAATATGCGGACGTTTTACAGTTTGCATTTATTTACTGCCGTATGCTGCCATTTGTGCTCAAAACTGGGTCGATGACCAAAACTACCATAAATGTTTGGCAGTTGGAAGATGTAGGATCTAATAAGATCGGAGAGTACCCCAAAGAGGGAAGTCATGCAGTTATGCTGGTAGCAGGTGCCCCATGGTGTTCCATTTCGTTGTTGATGCTGCAAGGCTGTAGGCATTTTTACATGTGTGTGTTTAGGTGCTATGTGATGCAGCTCTTGAAAGCCCGAAAGACAGGTTGATTAAATCCACTGCAGGCTTTCAATGTATTCTTTACATTGAATTCTTTTAAAGTCCGCCCGGATCGTTTGAGGCAACAAAGTCGTAAGGTGGGCACAATCTCAGTGATGAAAATTTGACCCATGGTCTACCCATCCCTACCCCCACACAGGTGGAATGCTTCTTCCATGGAAGGTTCACATGCCACACTTCATTTGATCCATTGCACCCCCATCTATGTAGGTAAGCGGCAAGCGGGATTGTAGCGGTCCAAACAGAACAGATTTTGCCACCGAAAGTTCTTAGTAGCTCTGCGGAAACTTGTTGGATCGAAAAGAACCTTGATGGCTTTGCATAATTATCCGTTGCAGTATGGGTTGGCGACATCTTGATTTAAAGATGCAAACAAAACCGGTGAACAGAACTGAACAGAAGGGGTCTATGAGTTTCCCGAAACTCTAAAACTCCGTCTTGTTTCTGGAACAGTCAGAAAGATGAGGGTCCCGGTCGATTGGTGAAGCACGACTTTTGAAGACCCGGGGGAGCACGCCCGCAGGGCAGCTTTGGCTGCTGACAGTTCTACGGATTCTACGCAGTCTCACTGCTGCCGTTGCTTTTTGCGTTCTTTAAGCAGCCGTTGCTTTTTGTTCCTACACGTGGGCGCATAGAGTCGCGTTCAACATCACTTCCGGGACACCCAGTACTTGTTGCCGTTGTGTTGCCTTCGCTCCAGTGAGTGGTCTTGAGCCTCACAACCCCCAGCCAGTTTACATACTGGTGTGTAGAAACCAGGTGTTTTTCAGCTCCACTTTCCACGATACTCCAAGACAATTTCAGCGACAGTAGAGTGGCAATTTCAATCCACTGCTGAGGCCATCAATTTCAGCGGTCTCTGCTGCATTAAAAGACTTGGGCGGCGACGCTGCGGACCTGCGTGGGAAACTTCTTGGCCGGGCACGGGGCCCAGAATTCCGAGTCTCACACTAGCGATCACCACACCTCCACTGGGAATTTGGTAGTCTCGCGTGCTCAAGAGCCTTGATTGTTATAACAGCCACTCCTTCTCACTGCTTAGAATAAGGTCATATATAAGGTCGATTTTTTGTCTGAGCCTTGCAGCAGATACCGATACCCCGCTTCACAGTCATGAGTTTGCAACCCTTCAATTCAACGGGTAGGGCCCACAGCCACTTGTCTCATCCAGACAAAGAGTCGCTTTGGCAAAAAATCCATTGACAGGTCAAAATAGCTGGAAGCCGGATCCAAGTGGTCTTGTTTCACACATTCCGCTTTTTCTTCTCTTGTTCAGGTGTGTGCAGGTCATTTGGTGGCCGCGAGGAATACGACGGATCTCACCCAACTGGGCAAAGAGCTGGACATCCTCGAGAAGTGTCGCAAGGACGCTTGACTGACTGATGGCCCCGCGAAGGGTTTGACTGGCGTGTCGAAGCGCCCGCTGAGGCTCCGTGGAGTAGACTGAACTGCGTCCTTGCCTCTAGTAGCGATGCCCTTTGTTCCTAGTAGCTTCTTGTTCCTAGTAGTAAGGCCAGAAGTTACTAGTAGCGTCCTTGCTCCTAGTTCACTGAGTGGTGTCATTGTTTTGAATACAGACAACCACTTATGGTCACTCGTCACTCATCGCCCTAGCCACGAACCTATCATCTGGAATCCGGCCATAATTTGTGGCCCATCTGATTTGAACATGATTGAACCACCGGGCGCCATCCAGGATGAAGCCTTGTCTGCGCAGCTGGGTGAGGAGATCTCCCAATTGGCCCAAAGCTTGGAAGAGACCTTCCTTGCACGCCTCCTGGAGGCGCTTGGTGGGCGACTGATCACAACCCACTGCATGAATACCCAGTTCTTTGGCTGCATGGTTCATGAAATTGCCCATCCCACTTCCTACAGAAACTCCCACTTCGTCTGCGCGTTTGTTGGAAAGTCCGCCATCGAACAATACAAGATTTGGTAGCGCTTCCTCAAGGCATGCCCTCAACAGCCTCGGTTGGGGCCATGGGTTGCCGCCAAATCCCATTCGCTGTCCGTCGGTCCCACGGCAGGAGGGCCGTGCCAAGGGCTCTGCTGTCTTAGACCTGGCGATAGTTGCCGATGGATGGAGGGACGAGCCCATGCTCCCCAGGCTCACGAAGGCAGCTCCTGTTCGGTTTATTTGGATTTCATGGATAGTGGTCACTAGCCAGTATGACGAGCAGACATTGATGCGTAGGCATATCCGTATCAGCCTGTTCTGAACAATCGTACCAAGTGGCTTCATCACAAGAACTTATCCTGGTCACCAATCTGGGGTGAGCCCAGTCTGTGAGGAGAACGTATCCTGCCAAGCACATTTGCTTACCAATATGCTGCATCCCCATGCTTACCAATATGCTGCATCCCCATGGATTCAGGATACTTCAGACATTGTGATGGATGTTCACAATCCTTGAACATTATTGGAGGCCCAAGGATGATCTTCAAATCATGCGCCAGGCCCATAAAGTGGTGGGACTCTTCGAAGAGGCCATGGGAGAAGTGCAGAAGACCTCGGGAATGAATCCCAAAGTGGCATCTCGACTGAGCGAATGGGTGGGTGACTGATAAATGAACATGTCCAACTGCTGCCACCCTGTCTTTCTAGCTTCTCTCCCTACTTGTCTCCCTGTGTGATCTGTCGTTGGCCTACCAAAACGCCGTGTCGCCCAAGTTTGTCCCCCTCGTATTCTTTTTGTGTGTGCCCCCTCGTGGCCAGTATCCCAGGTGGTGACGGTGCTGAAGGACTTAGGGCCATTGCTAGAATCGGTGGCCAGCTTAGAGGCCTACCGCCAACGGCTGCTGAAGCTTGGCCAGGGAGACACGGATCAAGAGACGATCTTGGCTGAGAGGAGCTATGACTGGGAATCACAAGTCACAAGAAACATGAGCAGTATATGAAGTTGCCATTTGCCTTTTTGGTGACTGAGAATTGTTGGTGCAGTGGTTGGCCAACACTGTTGGTGCAAGAGTGTGTACAGACCGAGAGGCTGACTAGGGTTTGATGCAAGCACGACGATTGCCATTTCTAGGTTTTCCGCCAAGGCATCCAAGTTGCAGATTGCATTACCTTTGCATGTTGAGGGAAAGTTAGGATGGCTTTGCAATGTGTCCCGCAGTATCAGAAACTTATGGGCAGCTTTGCAGCGTGTCCCGTTAGCATCAGCCAAGCTTAGGACAATTGTGGAGAAGTTCAGAGAAAAGCTTGAAGAAGCTTGCCAGAAGGCACTCGCAGCTGAAGGACTGATGCGTAGACCTTGAGAGAAAACGAAACATGTGATTCCACATCACCAACCTTGGAGCATGCAACTTCACTGAAAATAGGATAACCTCAGTCACAGTTGACATGCATTTCGAGTCTGGGGTTGGCAGACATAATTGGAACAGAAATAGAGTTGCTCCCTTGTGCCTTGTCAGAGCTAGCCAAATGATTGGATGCCCAAGTGCATCGCCTTCCCTTGAAAGATGCAGAGCACAAGAGTGCCACCTCGAGGAGATGTCGAAGCTCGCCTTGCTGGTTTGCTAAAGTTGGCAGAAAGTGGCGACGTGGCCCAGGACCCTGGTGGTGATTTGTCATATTTGCTTATACAACTATATTCATTTATAATCATATATATATATATGGACACGTAGCTTTTCTATACAATCCCACTACACCGCACTTCTGGGTTGGGTTGGGTGTCTCTCGGGGACAATTGGACATGAATGGGGAAATCATGGCGAGCGTGTGCATTTTTTTACAAACCCACAGCTTGCCAGTTGGTAAAAGATTGCTGCTACTCAAGCACACTTATGCAAGTAGACCGCAGGTTCATCAAACCACGATGAAGACTTGCAGGGTTCTGGGAAAGTTCTACTGTGAAGCCTCAAATTGGAGAGTTTGATTCACCTACTGCAAGGAAGCTTTCTTAAGCGTTCCGGAGCTCTCCTACGAGAAGAAGAACTTTACCGATTCCATCTCGAAAGTGGGTGTGAAGAAAGCGTTAGAATCCATCGAAGCAGAACTCTCGAAAGAGTCTGGCATGAATCCAAAGCTCCTGCTGCAGAAGTTTCAAGAGCTAGGCTGGGTTTGGGCAAAAGAGACCTCAATTTTATTTAATGAAGTTATATATAGGAAATACAAAAAGGCAAGCGAGCAAGCCAGCAAGCCTCCGACAACCAAAAATCTGTGTATGTATCTGTATTTGTATGTAATATATTGTATTGCGACGACAACAGCAATCGTTTTACAGTAGATGTTCATTGCCATGTACACCTTTGGACGCAGAAAGCTTACAGTAAATGCGCAAAACGGTGTACAGGAATTGTTGCCTCCAACTATAGGCACTCGAAATCGTTGTGAGATCATTGTCCAGCAAACAGCTACGCGGACCTTTGCCTCCGCGAGGCAAGTGGGGTACGTTGCAGGATACTCTCAAAGATCGCTACCAGGCATCATGCGACAAGGCCAGCTTGGGTTTGCGTTTGGTTTCTTCCAGTTGCAAATTTGCACTGACTGACCCTCCAAAACCCGTGATCGCCCTTTCCGAATTGAAGAAGGTGGGCGTGTTGGAGCTTTATCATTACTACCAGAAACACAACTGTTTTCCAGAGGCGCAGTTCGGTTGTTTTTTTTTTGAGATGCTAGGGCCTAGGGGGACACCTGCTTTAGATTTGTCTCTGAATGAGGGCTGAATTTTCCAACCAAGCACATTTCACTGACTTCCAATGTGTGGATGCACGACTCTTTTCCTGCAGTGCAGGCATGTGAACGGACGGCTCATAAAGAAATTGTTGTCTCTCAAAACCGGCGATTGGATGCTTCTTGCACGTAGGATGATGTTGGCACTGAAACTTGATCAGGTTTGCCGAAGTGTTTTGAGATTTTGGAGTGACTACGCTATAAATATACCTTAAAATCCGCAGGGTAGTGGGGTTTGTTGTTTGGCTGAGGCAAACATGGAAACACATCTCACCTTTTGTCCATCCATGTTTCGCGGAGTGAGTCAATTACGCCAGTAAGTATAAACAACGTTCGTATTTTTGGTCAGCTCCACAATGTCGCAACCCATGTCACCATGATTATTTGGGGAACCAGGAACCTGGTTCACTTTAGGTCCTGAGCTGGAAAGGTGGGACTTTCGGTTCTTATGCTTGGTTGCCTCACACATCAGTACGTTTCCAAGATAATTATTCAGGTCCCCTTTTAGAAAGCTCGGAGAAATGTACTGATGAAATCTGATGAACCTGTGGCTGGTCGTGGGCACCCACCCCTTTTTCAACACCCTCGCCTCGCTCAATTCAACTTGTTCGCATCGCAGGTGAGTCAACGGATGAAGGACTCCATGCAGGACGCAAAGACAACGTCTAATACTGGCAAGCAGAAGGCACTGCTGCAGTTTGCAAAGGAGCGCCGTCGACAGCAGGCTGTCAGGGCTGTTGCAAGGTCACCCTGTTTGTGGTATCTTTGTTCAAGACAAGGCATGAACACACCCGGCAAATGCGTACGGTACTGATTTGCGTCTTGCCACACGCCAGCCTAAGTAAAAACCTAAGAAACCAGGACAGGGTTAAGTAAGGTGGTCTGAATATCTACAAATATATATTCGAAAATCTCGAAGAAAGTCTCGAAAATATCATAAGCTTCAACGTCCTCCGAGTTCGATAAAAGTCAACTGCGTGTTTGCCGACGTCTGCCAGCGGTGAACCGCTGAAAGACTGGAATAAATTGTTCAAGTTAAAGCAACAGGGACCAAGTAGGTAAGACAGCAGGCACGCCGAGCTGATCAGACTTGGTACCCCCTGATTGTGGGAGCATGTGGTAGCTTCGTTGCCGCAATCATGCCGCACTCCCCTGCATAAAAGACCAAATGCCCCCTTTGATTCCAAGGGTGTCACACACACAGATACATACATACATACATACATACATACATACATACATACATACATA